AAATCAACAATTATCAACCTACAAATAAACTCTGTAAATAATACAAAAAATAGATTCCGCCTTTTCTCGCTCTGTATGTCGGTATTACACACGACCCATTCCCATGGCAACCCACAAACAACAGCTCAAAGAGCAGATAGAGCAGAGATTACCGATCAGGGGAATCAACACCAAAAAGCAAACATTTCCCACACAAAAAAGTAGCAAAAACACTAAAATAGAACATCCAGTCTGTTACATTATGTTGCTGACAACATAATCATAATATAGCTTAATGTCTATATTATGATTATTAATAAGTTTTCGCCTGAACACCGCGGTGGTTGATTAGCTGATTTAAACAGCTGCTCTACTGATGACTTGGTGGGCAGGTTGACCTGTTTAATGCTAACGGAACCAAAACAGACCGAACTGCGCAGCACATGCTAAGGTTATCAATGTCAATAGCAGGCCAGTAGCAGTTAGGCTAGTATAACTGACCCACTGCTGACTTGTTCAATGGTAACGTTTTCCTCACCTGTGAAATCTGAAGCCCTTATTTCCATCATCTATGGTTGAATTAACTGCTGAACATTGCGTCCGTTGTTCTGATTCTTTGCGTGACTGTAGTAATTTCCTGACCACAGATATTCTTGACTCAATGGACAGCAATGGCGCATGTGTGACTTACGATAAATCACATAATGTCCAGTCCAGTAATATTTATCCATCAATGCTGCTGCCTCGCGCTCTGTCCTTCTCTCGCACTTCCCGCTACTTAGCAGTGGGTGTCAGGTTACATTGTGTTGCATTCAATGTTGTCGGAAAAAAAAGTTTCATGCGCTTAATGTCCGATTTGCCATAGCTATTTATTGAATTCATTATCGCTAGCTGGGGTGGCAACAGGGGTGGCAAGGCTCTCGTTTGGGGTGGCAACTGCCGTCAACACCACCACATCATGACAAACTCAATAAAGGCTTTTATTTTCAGTTAGAAAACACAATTTCCTCCACCCTCCATTGTTTATATTTGTGTCACTGTCTGGTACTAAACATGAGACTTAACTCCCAAAGACTCAGAAGGAAAGCTTTCTACTAAGTCAAACGACAAAAATAGCACAGTGACTTGAATAAATTACTTTAATCTGATGACTGCATTGGAAGTAGCAACGTGATGGATTACTGATTACTGAAAAAAAGGTTGGACACTAATTAACAAGTTGCTGACCCCAGAAGCTGAGTTTCAATTACAAATGTGCGACTTTGTGATATTCCGCTAATGTAGAAAAAACACAATTTCACAATTGCGGCATTTTCATTAAATAAGAAATGCAATCGAAATCACGTGAATAAGTTTGTTCTCGCAATAAGTCATTAAAAAACATGCCACATCATCATCCTCCTACCACTTTCTGTTGTTGTCTTTGTCTTTTCTGTCAGTAGTAACATCTGGTTTTTGATCACATGACTCGTGTGAAAAAGTGCGTTGCAGTTTTGTGAAATGGCCTTTTTGACTTAACACCTCATCCTAGCACTAAATAATTTTATTGAAAAATATGAGTTTCTCAAAACAGACGTGGGGGGACATATGACGCAAAATCCACTTTTTTAGCCCTCAAATACATTTTTGTGTACTTTGAGTGTCTTGGAGTGAAAAAATTTGAAAATTGTGTTGAGGTTTTGTTTACTTCATTCATATTGTGGTAGCATTAATATTTTAATAGGTATCTGACATGCCAGGACACTATAGAAAAATTATGCATATTGTGGGTAGTTGGTATGGATGGTAAGGGTGTAAATACATAGTGTAATAACACCATTAAAATACATTCATTTGAATATGTGGCTCTTCAGGCTCGTCGTCTTTATTCTCCTGCTGTGGGTCAGACTATGGCTCCAACATGTAAGGTTGGATGAGCAAGTCTTCTGTTGTTGACATTTTAATAAACTTAGGAATAAGAAGTTTCTCTGCTGGTAGATAATTGTATTGCTGCTATCAAACTACAAAAATGGTGGAACAGAGTGGAGTGAAACACTCTGTGCCCTGGAGGAGGGGTTTGTAGACCTGTAATAACAAGGAAGCATTGCAGTTCTACTGTATATAGACTATAACTGAATGATTTATATGTGAAAAGAAATCATTTATAAATATGACATGTCCACTTTAGGCACGTTTATTTTCAGAATTCCAAATTTGCCGAGTATTACACATGAGACAATTCTCCCCAAGACGCAAATAACAAAGTAAAATGACAAAAATAGTAAGTAACAGTGATTTGGATAAGTAACTTTAATCTGATTACTGGACTGGAAATGATAATGCATTTAATTTCTTGCTACTGTAAAAAGGGGTTGGATACTAACAAGTTACTGTCATCACTGGTGAATACATACACAAACCACAGTTCTCTTCACCTGGATCAGCGACCTCATGTTGGCAAAGTGTGTGTCCATGGCTCCACCATTAGGGAAGTTCTGACTCATCCTCTTCATCAGCTGAGTGAAGCAGCTGTATGCCAGGCTCTCTGAAACAAACACAGGACAATATGCTACTGCAGCCTGCGCAGGTGCAAAACACATCAGTCCAGACGTATGAATTCAAATGAAAGAGGAAATGAAAAACATGTCATTATCAGTAACAGCTGAGTTACATTACGTCAGTCTGATCTGTTCACACTGACGGCAACCATGGAGAGTCTACAGAGAGCGTCTTCTCACCGTCGTCCAGGATGACCATGAGCGGTGCCAGCAGGTCACACATGCCCTGAACGTAGCCCATCTCTAGATGCTCCCACACATAGCTGCAGGCAAACGCACACACACCCACAGACACATACAGGAGCTCATTACGTCACAAAATGCCGCTGCCCTTTGACCTAGTCACTACAGAAGAAAACAGCGACACTGCATTTATAATATTGTATGAGAAATATTTATTAAAAGTTTGTATGTACATGGACTTAAAGTAGAGTAGTTCATCTTTTTCAATAATGTATATGGTTTAATCATGTCAAAGACACTTTAAATAGAGTAGATCATGTGTTCATATGTAATTTTTGTATAGCGCTGCAACAATATTTTATTTTATATTTAATATTACATTTTCATGGAACTTTGCAAATCCCAAAACATCTGAAAATATAAGTTCATCTCCGAAATATTCCCACAAAAACAACTGCAAGGTTGAACTTTTTTGTTTCATGTTTTTCTATGCCCAGGTCTTTTAGGGATATGACATGATGATAGAAGCATCATGCTGAGTAGAGCTGCACAAGTTGCCAATTGCTATTGCAGTCTATGGAATATATTAACCACAAAGGATTGATTGGATGCAATATCTGTTAAATGTTGGACATTGATAATATTTGGTCATATGGACGGACTCGCTGCCCTTAATGCCTACAAGCGGCTGTAAATGTGGAAAAAGAAAGTTCTACAGCATATTGACTCAGTTGGAATGAAATCAAATATATCCATCGGTTCAATCCCAAATGAAATACTCTGAAGTTTGTGGTTGAAGCTCAAGAGGTTTGAATAGTTTTTCACCACATTTAAAAGAGGCTTACATTCCTACTACTTTATTTCAGCTCTTGCATTTTAAACCAGGGGTCTACAACCTGTGGATCTTTTAGGTCTTCCACAATGGCTCTTAATAACTTTGATTAAACAAACCAACCAATGATTTTAAATACAGATACATTTTTCTTAAATACAGGTTTTAGCAAATTTTCAGTTTTCATTAAATGTGTGAATTGCATTTCCACAATAGAATGACACTAAGAGTACCAGTAGTATTTTTTGGATGTATTTTCTTGTCATTAGGCTGGAAACAATGTATTCTGGGTTGGTTTTTTTGTTTGTTTGTTTTACATCACTTTCAACAGATATCAACATCTTATAGAGAAAAATGTTTCCATCCTCTGTTTTTCCAAAAGTTTTCTATTTTTCTTTATTTCAAAACCTAAAATAGAAATAAATTTTGGTTCTTTAAAAATGACAAGCAACCTTTAACCAATAATCAAAAATTATAGCCTGTCCCTTTTTCAAAAGGTTGCAGCTCTAAATAATCTTTATTTGGATTAAAGGCAAAAATGGTTCTTTGGATTGCAAAGATTGCAGAACCCTGCTTTAAACTCCAAGAAAATCAGAAAATGGCAACTAATTGTAACCTCTTAGCTGTGAAAGTAGTTTATTTCATGCAAATATCTTAAGAATATTTGCTGGATTTTGTGCTTTCAGCTGAAATTTATTTTCCATTGAATGAAAATGCATGTCATTTGAAGTGCAGAAAGCATTTTATTATGCCTGCAGGACTCCAGCACCGTGAGGTCACAGCTGTCTGTACCTGCACATGATGTTGCGTAGTTTCTCCAGGTTGGCTGTGGTGAAGTAATAATAGTTTCGGTCACAGCGTTGTACATCTTTGTCTATCCTGTGGAGGTTGAGGGCGACCATGTCCAGAAGCTCGATCTGAACGAGGAAACAATACAGTCAACATAACTGGGAGTCCTGCTTGTGCTCCTCTGAGACGTGTCTGCTGGCCGGACACGTCTCAGTGGAGCTTGTGCTCCACCACGTACAATCAGCCGATTGGTGCTGATCAGATATGGCGAGTGTGGAAGTTGAAGATCTCAACTTTTTCTGACCAGTGAATGCACAAAGACTAGCAGAATAAAATTAAAGCAGAATTGGGATAAACATATTCAATATACAAATTCTAGTTCAGTTTTTTCTAGAGGTGTGCAGATCGATCGGCCACCGATCATAATCGGCCGATTTCCGTGAAAAAATGTATGATCAGTGATCGCCGATCACAGTGTCTCGTTGCCGATCACACAAACCGATCACCTGCATCTCATTTCCCAGCCTGCCTGTGCAGCTGGTCTCCTCTTTCCTTCACTCTGTGCAAACGCGCAGCAACAAATCCTAAGCGATGTGGAACTATAACGCACTGAGTGAATGGGGAAGTTTGTGTGTTGCGGCAGAAAATTGAAGCACGTCAAAATGCATCAACACGACGAATCTAATATGACATAAAAACAATGTCATACTTGACGGAGTTTGGCTACATCGAGGCTCATTGCAGTAAAAGACATATGGAGCGATCAGATAAAGCAGCGCACAGCTACAAACACTCACCCGGATTAGCATGACGGTCAGAAAGCTAAACAAATAACCCGCAAAATTATTTAGGTCTTCGAGCTGCGGTGTAAGACGCAGGTTCTGCTCTCGCTGTTGAACCGCTGCTACACGCTACAGGTAGTAATATTTCACAGACGGAGCGCCGCTTCTGCTCCACCTGGTAGTGACTCTCACACCGAACCTCTGCTTAAAGCTGCAGCATCTAAGCTAAAAAAATTAATTTTACATACGTATTAAAACTTTAGTTGTCCTAACATGAGACAGAAAATCTCTGAAAAAATAATCGATCTCCTTCCAGTTCTGCATTATTACTCCCCTCAGTCAGAAACAGCCAATCAGAACTAACAGTAATCAGCTAGCCGCCATGCTATCAGGAAGTTTTCATTCAGTAACTCTGGATTGTTTATTGTAATGGAACCTGTATTTGCCTTTGAATGTTTTATACTTTTATTTTTTGGCAATAGTGAGAGGTTTTATTTTGGCTCTTTGCGTTATTTAGCCTCTTCAGAGCCTTCATATGTTATCAGTCTTTTAAAGGTAGTATTAACAATAGCAGTACAATTCGCACAATGCCTGTTTTGTTTAGTTTTCTTCTTGAAGTTATTAAAAACAAGTTTTTGTCTAAATTAAGGTGAATTCATGGTTCCTTTTTCCACATAATGTAACTGGTAGTGCTTATGATTAAAAAAATAATAATTATGTGATCGGTATCGGTGATCGGCCCTCATGGGTGATCAGTATCGGTATCGGCAGGAAAAAAACCTGATTGGCACATCTCTAGTTTTTTCTTTTTGCACAGTCAGATTAAACAGAAAAGGCTACAAGGCCTACGCACTGTGTAAGAGGAGAGCGAGGCTGAGATGGCCTCGGTGGCGGCTCCACTCGTCACCAGTTTGTCCAGCTGACTGCAGAGCCTGTCCTCAGTAAAAGAGTCCTGACGCCCCCCTACTGGAATCCTGCCTTCCTCCCTACCCCCACCTTCCTCCTCAGTGCTCTGACCATCGTCTATGCTGGACAGGATCTGAGAGTGAGCAGAAGTCACAGAGTAGTTCCTGGAGGAAGGGAGACCTGAGTCGGGGGAGTCAAACTCTACCAGAGGACGCTCCTCTGGGGGCACAGCAGCAGGTGGGGCCAGGGTGGTCATGACAGGAGTGCTGTCCTCGCCACTAGGGGTCTCCTGACTCCCTGCATCTGGCTCATCCACAGACATGAAGACCTGAGAATGGAGGAGAGGTCGGAGAGCGTTGTCTGATGAAAACATTAGAACATATAGGAAATACAAATCTATCAGCTGGGTTAAATGTTACTGTGTTGTTTTTGGTGTTTGAATTCAGAACTATGAAACCCCAAGTGTTTTCTTGGAAAAGCCACAAATTTCTTATATTTTTTAATATACACAGTAATGTCAAAGTGTTAGCCGCCTTTCAGATTTCTTCTGTTTCTGATGTTCTCTGACACTTAAAGCTGTAATATCTAAATGTATGTTTTTTGAACATATGTCTTAAATCTGTTACCATGACAATATAGTATGAAACAGATTATATGTGGAAAAATCGAGCTCCTGTGCCTTCTTTCACTGGTCCCACTAGCAGAAATATGCCACTTGGTCAGAAACAACCAATCAGAGGCAGGAGGAGGGTCTTAGCACTGTCAATCATCCTTGTGTACGCGCTGCTCAATGCACTAATGGCGGAGAAAGAAATAGTCTACAAACCACATCTCCCATAATGCATTCCGATTGTTATCAGCCAACATTACGGCTTCTCGCCACTAGAGAGCAGCAGAGTTACCTCAAGCTGCTTATTGATTTTCCCAGCGAATAAAACTGACAAGCTAACATCAAAACGTCCAAGAAAAGAAAAATCGATTTACAAGTAAGACTGTGAATAAAGATGTGTGTGAGTTGGTGTCAGGGTGGCAGGTCGCGCTAGACTTTTGTTTGTTATCCGTTATCTTGACCGACAACATAAAAAAAAAAATCGGTCATGTACTATTTTTATCCGTGAAATTACAATCATATTAACATCGGCTATTTAGTCGCATTTTATGCGGTTTAGTTAATATTCACTGTGAATCCAGATCCCATCACAAATTAAGCAAGATAAATGAATCTACATTTTTCTCCGTAGTGACAAAAACCACTGACTGTGGCCCCAATAACTTTTAATAAATTAAACTAAGCGACTTCACTTAAATTAGCATCACTTCACCCGCTGGGGTCTGAACGCACTTCCTCCTAGTTCAAATCTGCAGAAAAATCTGCGCTAATTCATCAGTCAGTTGGATCTGTCTGATCCAAACAGATCAACTGAACTCTGTGAGTGTTTTACTCTGCGCGGTCCGGTGTGAGCTTTTACCAGGATTTTTTTGTTTGTTTTTTTTTGCATGGTTTCGCTTCTCCGAAACGGACAGATGTTACGTCTGCAGCTCCTCCAGAGCGCCGCTCTCCTGGGTAACTTCCACCCAGAAGGCTCCATTTGTTAAATCCGCTGGATGAGTTACTTCCAGCTGTTTTTAATACTTCGCAGCGGCGGAGCCGCGTCCGCAGTGGTTGAGCAGCGGACTGCGCATGTTACAGTCTAAATAACTTCTGCATCGTCATTCATTTCCTCAAGATAAACTGCCGGCTCCTCAAATGGATTAACACAACGTTGTAATCTCTTTAGTTTTCTCTGGTCTGTAATGGAGACTTGAATTTACCGAGCCATTTCAAAGGTTTGTAATGCGCTTCCTAACCAGACGCTCCAAAGCGTCCGGTCCATCACTCTTCAACACGCTGTAGCTCCCGGTCAGAAAGACGCATTTAGTTCAGAGACCATGAGATGATATTCAGAAAGGATTTTTTAATTATTTGATTTCAGTTGCCTCTGAGACTAAATCGTTGCGTAAAGTCTATAATGTCTGCCCATGAACCAGTCAAGGGTGTTAATTAGAACTTGTCAAATGACGGACGGGCTTTAAATTTTCTGGTCGTTTAAAAAAAATAACCGGTCAAATACGGAAAATATTAGGTTAACGCGACCTCTGTGTCGGGGTGAAAAGGGATCAGCTTTGCGTTCAAGAACAGGCAAACATTACCTAATTGTTTTGTTGTTATGTGAAATACATGTTGGTTGTGTAATAAAAAAAAGTTTGAAGTTGAGAGTTAACATCAAAACTTGTTTTTATTATTTGCTTGCTTACCTTTAAACACTGATTTAAATATTGTAATTTTTTAACTGAGCAGTAATTTTACATCCATGCAAATTCAAATGTAATATTTAAAACTTCAATACATAAAATCAGTTATTTAACAATATGAGGTGTTGTTTAATTTATTTTAATTTATGTATTTTCATACATTAATGCTAGGGGTGCCCAAGTCTAGTTTTCCAGAGCTCCCATTTGCAACTTTAGATGAGTTCCTTCTCTAACACACCTGGATCATTTACTCATTATAAACCTCTACAGAACTGAGTTGCTGCTAATGAGGGAAGTCTGCCTTTTGTCTGGGGTGTGTTTTAGCAGGGATGCATCTAAAAGTTGCAGTCTGAAGGACTGCACCTGGGCACTCCTGATTTGTACCATCAATGTGGCCCGTTGAGGGTGGCCAATATGCTGAAGTGGCCCTCAGTGAAATTGAGTTTGACACCCCTGCTCTAGCAGCATGTTTTTGTATCCTGTGTTGCATGAGTGAGATGGAAGTGAGTTACATTTATCTGACTCTTGGCTGTTATCAAGACAAATGTTCATTTTAATGCATCTGACAGTTTGCAAATATTAAGGATAATGTCCTGATCACAGTAAATGTTTATGAGCAGAATTCATTGTGATGTTTAATAAAACTCATTATGCCATTTTCTAGTTGTTAAATATTACACAAAGTGACCAGATAAAAGATGTACAACAATGCCAGTTTAAACTTTGAACTATTTGCAAAACGACTGAGCTCTGCAACATTAAAACATGGATAGAACTGTAACTACATTAATCATAGCTCTTCTTCTCTTCAGTGTTTGTCGGTTTCTGGTGGTGCAGCTCTGTGCTGCCTTCAGGAGAATGGGACATCAGAGTATCATCCATAAAATTTCACCCACATGGCATTTATTGTGCAAACCAGAGCTTTCAGTGGAAAAACTAAAGTTCCTTTTAATGCCATATAAATATGAGACAGAAACATGGATTATATCTTTATATAAACCTGTCTATTGATTATAGATTAATAGTTTTACTGGACAGAAATTACAAAGAACATATATGGTTCTTGATCAAATCCTAATGAGTCAAATTGAAAGTGTCATGGAGTCATCAGCCTCATAACATTAACACTGACATGGAAATAATATTGAAGAAATAAATATATCAAATCTAATTAAAAACATAAATAAGTGATAAGTTATTTACTGTTATGGTCTGTAAGATATATTTATTCTCAGTACTAGATGTGGTCTCAACAAACCCATGACATTTCAACAATATTATTTTACTTTTTATCTGGAAATAGTGTCTGTTTATTCTTGCCATACAGTCCTCTGTATTAATTATTGCTCGAAAGGTCTTGCCATACCAGTTTATTCCTCTGTATTTACTTTAGTTTTTTCTTAGTTTATTCTTGCATTTTCTTTTTCATTCATTCCATTTAGTTTCATTTTATTAGTATTATCCTCTCTTGGTTTATTGCTATGTCCACTTTAGTTTCTTTCCTGTTGCTAGATTTATTTTATCATTTATTGACGCTCACCATCAGTAATCTTCACTCATCACCTGCTGCGCCGCCTAATCGTCATGTTTCACATCATGTGTTGATTTTCCACTGTTCAGCATCTGATGCTCTGTTTTTATGCCATAATTCACATCTAGTTCGTCGCTCCGTTTTATGTCCCGCTTCTCCTGTTTCAGAGTTTTGCGCGATGTGCGCGTCGTTTCTTTTTTTTTCTTTTCTTTTTTTTAACCCTCTAAGGTGCAGGCCGGTCGGGAAACATATCGATGGGGAAAAGGCAGACTGACATAAACCTTTTAAAACAATGGAAACAATTTTGGTGTTCTGATAATTGAAATTTAAAAGTGCTGTGGTACCGTTGTTCTATCACACCCGTTTCATACCGGACCACTTACAGCTCCGGTGTTAACGCTATAAAATGAACGCTCTCTATCGTGGTATCACCATGGAGGGATTTCTTTATTTAAATGGGTTCATTTTTCTGAGGGATACACAGTGAGGGTATCGTGATTTTAGTAATCACGTTTATAAGAGCGATATTTCGTTGTCCTTCCATGGAAGCGGGCATTAAAACACTTTTTAATATAAGTTGCTGCTTTGACGTGATCACAGAACTGAAAAAAACATCTGTACAAAAATACCAGACAAAGTGAATCACAGCAACGTCATCAGCCGGTGTAACGCTGAACTGATGCTGTGAAGCTACTAGTAGCAGGACCGCGGAGCTGCGCCAAAAACTAACAAACACTGAGGAGAAGGAGAGCTGCCATCGATACAGTTGCAGCCAGGCATGATTTAATGTTACACAATACATTTTTAGGAAGTTGCTCAAAGTCTAAACTGGTATTGTTGTGCATTTAAGGTGTAAAGTTTACCTTCACGCAAACACCCCCAAAAGAAGCCCAGTGCCCCCCTTTTGTAAAAATTTCCGCCAGCGCCCCCTGCCGTCCTCTGAATGCCTCCCGGGGGGCGGTACCACCACCGTTGAGAAACACTAATGTAGAGCTCAAAAAAGTCAATTTTACATAACACTCCTGTCCATATGAGGTTCATTCACACATAGGGTACCAATAAAATGATTTGTAGCCCAGATTCAAAGCGATTCCATTTAATAAAAGCGGAGCTAAGCTGTCCCAGTAAGTGCTTTTCAGATACGGCTGCCTGTTCACCTCATTACTGAGTGTGGAGTCTCTGTGAGCGAGCCTTAGGACGTGGCTGTCTATGCTGCTGCCCGACGACAGCTTGGCAAAAATGGCCGACTGCATTTCCTTCTCCCTCTGCTTGACGATGACCTCACAGGCTTTCCACTCCCGCATTACCTGCTGATAGCGCTCGCTGATCTTCGCATCAATCTCCATGAGGAAATAAAAAAACGGAGAACTTAGAAGCCAACTTGCAAACTAAAGCTGGGAGCTAGGAGTGTGTATTAGTGTTGCCGTACCTGGCTCATGTCCTTTTTGCTCATCCCGAACTTGTAGTGTCCCAGCAGGAAGGGCCACACTTCCTTCCTGATCTCATGCTGGACTCCTCCATAGTAAACCAGTCTGAGCAGCTCAAGCTCCTTGTAGTTCTGCAGATACACATAGGAAGGATAACAGACCTGAACGAGAGAAGAAATTCAAATTCAATTCAAATTCAAAAATACTTTATTAATCCCAAAGGGAAATTAAGTGGTCTTGTAACTCATTCATTTAGATTCTTCAAAGAGTTATTGAAGATGGTGATGTTGGTAGGAAAGAGCTTCTGCACTGAACCTGAAGAAGCCTCTGATAGAAGATACTCTGCCTTCCCATCATCTCTTCTCAGCAGAAGAGATGATGCTCTCAACAACAGACTTATAGAAGATCTGCAGGATTTTACTGCAAACCTTGAAGGTTCTTAGCTTCCTCCAGAAGTACGGTCTGCTCTGTCCCTTCTTATAGAAGCTTCCCTGTTGCGTCTCCAGTACCTCCGTGTCCAGATGAACACGGAGGTATTTATTTTCCTCAACCACCTCCACTTCTCCATGATGGAAAAAGGGTTTGATCCAATCCTGTTTTTCCTGAAATCAACAATCATCTCAAGACAACAGGAAGGAAAAGCCTACATGAAAGATGCAGTGGATCAATAATTGAGGGCAAGGAAGAGCGATGGGGACCTGCACAGAAAAAGACTCAGATGAGTCCTGAAGATAAAGGATGCAGATATTAATTGAGTGTAAATTAGTAATGATGATGTTGTTGAAGCTGATGAAAGATTACAGTTGATGCCTTAATAGCTGTGATGGTATCACACTGCACTCTGTAATGAGACTCCAGTTACTGAATCTCATTAAATTTTCATTAAAGTGGAGGAGAGACTGGAAAAGGTGGAGAGCATCCCACGCTTACGATTAACATGACTGCATCAGCGCAGTGTGGCGAGGTTTGGATGGAAGAAGAAGAAATATCATGAAATGAGCAGTGAGAGAAGCTCATTTAGAAAGCTTGAGCAGGTTCAATGGTTATGTAACATAACTAACAGCATATGTCTGATTCCAAAGCAGGAAAAAGGGAAAAATAACAGAATATGAATGAGAGTTTTCAGAGCACCCACTGTTTAAATCACGAATATTGTTCTTCACTTTCAGCTCCGAGATGCTGATGAGTTTTATCTTTATGCATTTTAAGTTTCTTCACACATGAATCAAGCCCTCATTAGAGGGCAGCCTTTCCTCCCACAGCTCTCTGGCTGCTCTATGCAGAAGCATCAACCAACACTGAGGCTCAGTTACAACATCATCATCAACTAAAAAAATCATCCCAATTCTGTCTTACATTCCTGTGCTAGTTGCTGTTAGATTTCACCTCTTCACTAGTTAGGCTTTAATGGTTTCTATTTCCCAAAGGCAAAGACAAAGTTTTTCAGTTGAAATCATATTGCTCCAATAGTTTGTCACATTATAAATCAAAGTTTTGTTAAAGAGTTTGTGCCACAAAAATGGAAAATTGCTAAAATAATCCCATTGTCAAGAATAACAAATTACCGTTATCTTTATCTAACTACCTATTTAGTCTACTGCCTGTTCTACGTAAAGTGTTGGAAACATTTGTACTCCATCACTTTGTTCAGATGCGTTAATTTTTTAACAGATCTGTTCAAGCCTGTTCATACTTGAAGATTAAGACATATTTTGCTCAAAATAACCTTAACCCTTAACTCAAGTGCTATAGATTTGAAACACCTTCACTCGTGTGTGTTAGAAAGTACTTGACAAAAAGGCACAAAAGGTTTTTTATTCTGGGGACAGAGGTGTGAACTGTGGGGTACCACTACTGTATACCGTTTGTACTAATGATTTTCCTTTCATGCTGAATGCAGCAAAAGTGGCAATGTATGCTGATGACTATACACTGTGTGCACAATTAATAGGTAAGTTTTAGTTTTGATCACATCATCATTTTCATCCATATATGCCATCTCCAAGCTGTATAAACTTGAATACTTATTGAGTATAAACATATCAGCTGATGTCTATTTGTTTAATGAGGGAGGATGGGACCTAAGGAGATCAACATATATACCAAGGTGTGCAGAATTATTAGGCAGCTTCTTTTCCTCAGGCAAAATGGGCCAAAAAATAGATTCAAGTTGTTGGGATCCAGGGTTTGGGGATGGTGTGGTTGCTGTTTTTCCCCCTTTCATCCACAAGAGGGTGTGCTGAGGCTGTTTTACCTGGAGGGTGTGTTCTGCAGCTCCTGATCCAGCACAACTGTCGCCAATTACATCAGCTGGAGGAATATATGAGGAGGGGGTTGCCATCACTTCACTGCCAGTGTTAGCCAATAATGGTACTTATCTATGGTAAGCTCTCTCTGACCAACCTGAACTCCCAGTGATTGTCTCCTTGTCGACTCCTCTCTAGGTGTTTCCTCCGTGACGCTGTGGACTAACCCTGAAAAAGCCAAGACGGTAGGCTTCCTGATGCAGCTCCTTGTGACGCCGTGGAAGATACCCACTGGTAGCCCAAGTACCCAGTGCCTCCTAGCAGTTGATTCCTCCATTAGATCCTCCAGTTGGCAGCTCCCTCCTGTACTCAAGACTCACTCGCTCCTCCTCTTAACTATCCGCCTCAAACTCACAAGCCGTCCTCTCCATCCTAAATCAAGCCCTGGAAACCTCAGTCGCCTCCTCCTGGTCTGGATGAACCCACAAATCAAGTAAGACCCACCCGTTACTTCAAGTCTGAAAATTCCTATAGAACTTGAACTAACCTTACCTGTCCCCCTGTGCTCAGATATCCGGTGTGCCCGCTTGACGAGTTCTTGGACCAGAACACAGTTCATAATCCTTTCTGTAAATTTTGTAATAATCTTCATTTACATTTTCAACTGGTTCCAGAGTTGTCTTTTGCATGTGGGTGAGAAAATTGGAATCCACCATGACACAAGTGACTGAAAAGTGGGATGCACAGTGCCGCAGTTGGTAGCACTATTGCCTTGCAGCAAGAAGGTCCTGGGTTCGATTCCCGGCCTGGGGTCTTTTTACATGGAGTTTGCATGTTCTCCCTGTGCATGTGTGGGTACTCTGGCTTCATCCCACAATCCAAAAACATGACTGTCAGGTTAATTGGTCTCTCTAAATTCTGCTTAGGTTTGTGTGTGTGTGTGTGTGTGTGTGTGTGTGTGTGTGTGTGTGTGTGTGTGTGTGTGTGTGTGTGTGTGTGTGTGTGTGTGCATGGTTGTTTGTCCTGTTTGGCTCTGTGTTGCCCTGGACTGCGACCTGTCCAGGGTGTACCCTGCCTCTCGCCCGAAACATTTGCTGGAGATAGGCACCAGCACCCCTTCAGAACCCCCTAAAGGACAAGGGTGTACAGAAAATGAATGGAGGGACTCTGAAAAGTCCAAAACTGCAAAAAATCTTTCAGAGGGATGTAGCACTCTTGAAATTGCTAAAATATTGGGATATGATCATCAAACATTTTGCGAACCCCGGTTTCAGCAGGGTCGCAAAAAATGTGTTGAGAAAAAAGATGTAAATTAAGGTTAAGGTTAATTTACGATTGAAGAATCAAACATGAAGCTACCAGGAACCCATTATCTTCCAGTGCTGTCATATTCCAGAACTGCAACCTTCCTGTAGTGCAAAGAATACAAGATGCTCAGAGACATGGCCAAGGCAAGGAAGGCTGAAACCTGATCACCACTGAACAAGACACATAAGCTGAAACATCAAGACTGGGCCAAGACAGATCTGAAGACAAATTTTTCAAAGGTCTTATGGGCTGATGAGATGAGTGACTCTTGACGAACCAGATGGATGAGCCTGTGGCTGGATCAGTAATGGGCACAGAGCTCCACATCAGACACCAGCAAGGTGGAGGCAGGGTACTGGAATGAGCTGGTATTTAAAAGAGGAGCTGGTTGGACTTTTTTGGGTTAAAGATGGATCAAAATCAACTCCCAAATCTTCTTCCAATTTTTAGAAGACACTTTCTTCAAGCAATGATACAAGAAAAGGTCTGCATCTTTCAAGAAGACCATGATTTTTATGCAGGACGATGCTCCATTGAGCATCAAGGTACTAAAGGCCTTAATGATGAAAGAATAATGCAATGCCCCCCTTCCTCATCAGATCTAAATCCCATTGAGAACTTGTGGGCCCTCTTAAACAGGAGATTTAGATGAAGGAAAACAGTTCACATCTCTGAACAGTGTCTGGTAGGCTGTGGGTGCTGCTGCACAAAAAGTTGATCGTCAACAGATCAAGAAACTGACAGACTCCATGAACTGAACTGTTATTGAAAAGAAGGGTGGCTATATTGGTCACTGATTTATTTTTTAAATGTCAGAAATGTTTATTTGTCAGTTTTGAGTTGTATATTTATTATTCTCACTATAACGGATGACAAACGAGTCAGATGTGAAACTTTTCAGTTGCATAATAATTCTGCACACTAATTGTTGCCCACATAGATATTGTCCTAAGAAAGCCAAAATCTCACTTTTACTTTCTTAAATATTCAGGTTTGAGAGGTTATTAACATTTTGGATTGACCGAGAACGTTGTAATTATTCAACAATAAAATGAACCCTCGAAACTACAACTGGTGCACACATAATTGTGGACACAGTGTACAGTATATGTGTAAACAACAACAGAAGAAATAAATCTAAAATTGGGAGAGGAGTTGAAATCAGTGAATCATTTCGAATAGGTTAGTTTTGAATGTGGTAAAAACTAAAAGTATTGCTTTTGGATGAAAATATCAAACCAAAAATTTTCCAATTAGGTGATGTTCCTTTTGAGAATGTGGTAGTCGTAAAACACTTAGGCCTTACCGTAGATGGCACAACATGATGGACTGAACAAATTAGCAGCATCATTAGAGATGGATAGAGGGTTAGCAATTAGTAGACAACGTACAGGACTACTGTCATTAAAAGCTGTAAGGAAAATGACTGAAGTCTTAATTCTGTCTCAATTGTATTACTGTTTTATGGTCTGGTACATTCACCCATCCATTTACTTACACCCTTGTCCCGAGTGGGGTTGGGAGGGGTGCTGGTGCCTATCTCCAGTGAACATTTTAGGCGAGAGGTAGGGTACACCCTGGACAGGTCGCCAGTCTGTTGCAGGTTTGGTCTAACAGAATATATTAATAAACTTCAAATTAATCAAAATAGAGCAGCTCACCTTGTGCTTTGTTGTCATTGTTCTACAATGACAGAATATGCATTCTAAAAATACATGAAAAACTTTCAACTGTTGATAACCAAAACTGAAACACAGATGTCAAACTTTATTGAACTAAAAGTTTACAAAACAGCCAAGTTAATTAGCTCTTTAGAATTTATCTAGGAAAATTTATGTAGTCACCTACATAAATTTACATGAAGCTAAGATCACTAAATGTTTTCAAGACTAGCAAAAATGCACATCTAAAATTAACTCCTCTGTTACCACATTAGTGGAAGTTTGTCCATCACTGCACAGCAACTTCATGGGATGTTGCTGTGAATTGCTTGTTTTCACTGTAAAAAGATTGAAAAGGACTGAACTTCACTGGATTTTAATCTGTTAGTACGGATTAAACCGTATTAATAAGAACTGAAATGAAATGTATGAATTTAACTGGGTATTAACTGGATTTAACTTTATGACTTTAAATAACTTTTATTGCAAATTGGTGCTATTAGTAAAATTTAACTAATAGCATTAGTATAAATACATAATTTATAATAATATTTAATTTATTGAATACATTGATAAATTAAATATTTAATTTATTAAATTAAATATTTAATAAATTATTTCATTTAGTTGTGTTAAACAAACAAGACTGAGCTGAATTGTATTTGTTTAAATGCAAAAAAAGCTACTATTCCTGAGTTTTATAAGTTTGACAGGTTCTAAGCTGGATGCAAAATTTGTTGTGCTCAATTTGTGCTGCAACAGAATTTAGAAAGTATGCTGCTGAAAATTCTGATAAAACTGTTTTTGAAATACTATTAAAAAAAAAACTATCAATCTAGCTCCCAAATATGAGGAGACACAGATGTTAAAGAAAAATAATTGTTTCATTTAGAGTACAGATCTTACCCATCCATCCACGCTTACACCTGGTGAAGGGTGCTGGTGCCAAGGGTTAACAGGTCAGGGTCACCCTGGACAGGTCACCAAAAATGTCGTTCCTTATTTCTATAAGGGTGTCTCTTTATTACCATGAATATAAGCTGTAAAACTCCTATCATTCTCACTGACCCAACATCAACTTGGCAGTGGAGTCAGCATTTTAAATTCACCATCATGTGAATGTGAGAGGTGCAGAGATGTTGGAATGCAAGCGACTGGGACAGATCTACATTCCTGCAGTGATGCTATAGTTTCTGCAGTGCTTTGCAGGCTCACTATCTGCACCTACCTTGCAGTCTTTCTGGTACTTGCTCCACACCTCTTTGCTAAGTCCTCCAGATGCCTCACAAGGTCTGTCTGGGGGTACAATGTTGTGGGTGACCATAGCTGACAGGTGTGTCCGCACCGTGGACAGGTGTCGACAGTATGCAAGCCCTGATGGACAAGTGAGACACATGCACAAGTCCACCAGCTAAGATCAGGAGGCAGAAATTTCAGGAAAAGTACATGTTAATTTTGGTCCAAAATCATGGATGGAAAGAAGTCTAAAAATAAAAATGTGAAAAACAACAAATTAAAGATGCACCAAAAACTCAATTGCCAATTGGAATCAGATTATATTCAGTTATAGGTCACCTGGATACTCATAAATGCATCTTTCTCCTGATAACTGAACTCACCGCACTAATAGCTACACTGGCTCTTTTGAAGACGATTTAACTTGGAAATGAAAGTCCACCAGCTACTTTGAAAATGCAGTTTAAGTCAACAAGGAAACTATTGGTTTTAACTCAGAAATTAAAGTTCATGAAGTTGATTTAACAACAAGAGGCAGGTTGCTTAAATATTAAGTTCATTAATCTTGAATTGTGAGTTTTAACTTAATGTTGCGATTTAAACCCAATAATTATTTCTCAATGCAAGAAAAAACTTCCCTCACCTAGTTAAAGAGCACACATTTCTCTATTAGTAAGTTAAAATGCCTACTTATTTTACTTTAGAATATTTTAAATTCTTGTTTCAAAATGCATGAGCAAAATTTCTGATCTGAATTTTATTAAACATCTGCTCAAAAATATTTAGTGTAAACAGGACATTATCCGCAAACATTAAAATACACATTTGCCTTGATAACACACAAGAGTCAGATGAATGTAACACACTTCCATCTCACTCATGGAGGCACACAGGATACTAAAACGTCGCGAAGCACACAGATAAATAGTTCCCACTCCTGTCTTTTTCTTCTTTTCCGTATTTTTTAAGTGCTTAACCTTAAAACTCCAGTTTATTCAACTCTTGGAGGTTTGACAAAATTAATAAAAAGTTAACACAAATTACTACTGTCAGTTTATCTTTCACAGACTCACACATTTAAGTTCAAAATCTAAAACTCGCTAAATTTATTTGACTTAAAGAGAAGAAGATGGTAGACACAAATCTGTGGCTCAAATGTTTTACAGAGTACCAATTTCAATATGACATGTTAAAAAATAGGTTGAAACTAGGGCTGTCACAATAAAATTTACTGGACGATAAATTGTCCCAGAAGTTATTGCAATAATATTATGTTGAGACAGTTTTCAAGTAATAGAGTGGTAATCTCAAAATAATCTAAGAACGCATTCTCAAAAGTCAATTAACTTTAAATTCTAATGAACATTTAACACCTAGCCTAGCTAGTTAGCATAACGGATAAACAGTTTTTCTGCAATGGTGAGTTGTTTTTCCACAATTAGCACATTTAGCAGTGCATACACAAGGTTGACTGACAGCACTGAGACTCTCATCGTAACTGATTGGTTGCTTCTGATTGAGCGGTGCATTTCTGCAGACTGCAATAGTAGCTCTTGTGGAGGAGGTGGAAGATCTCTATTTTTTTCACAAATGGTGTCTCTCATAACAAACTGTCACGACATAGTGACCGTTTTGATAAATATACAACATGTTTTCATAAAAGTTACATACTGCAGCTTTGAAGACAAATCAGACTCGGTTAAAATTGGTGTAGCAAGACAGATATTACAACTAAAGTGTCAGACGAAAAAAAAACCGGTAAATGTAAACCTTTTAAGTTAAGACATATAGAGGTCATATTATGACATCAAACTCTAGAGGGCCCTCACTCATGTTCTTCTGGAAGAGTTTAAACATTCAGTTTATTCAAGTGCAAACTTCTCTAAAGTTATTACTTTGACAAGTTGCACCTGCACAACTACAAGCTTTATTTAATTGGCTTTTAAAATCAACTGAGCAGCAGCCTGGAAGTCAGCTATGCAGAAGTCTCAACACAGACTTGGTGGGAGATTATGCCAACACAAACAAACTGAGTGTTGTGTCAAGCTAGTTACAGAACTTTAATTTCTTTTTGCACAAGGCAATAGCCTACTGTGTTTCATATAGACAACTGTATTACACGAAGAGCAAAGGACTGAATTAAATCCATTTGTTATATAATAAGAAAAATGAAAAATTAAACATATATCTGTTTTCATGGCAAATGAAAACAAAATGCTGGATGTGAAATTAGAATAAAGCTGTTTTAAAAAATCCACTCAGAGAAAAAGCAGTCAATCAGTGAGCAAAGCAATGAGAGAAGAAGATGATGAACTTACACCCATAGAAGGCTCTGGAGACGATCTGCCGCTTCATGTTCTGACAGAGCATCTTCAGTGGAATACTGGTGGACAGAAATCAGATCATTGTCACCACCCTTACTCCTCTCACTTTGTTCAAAAAGTTACAAAGATCCTCTCATCTGATGTGACTGCCAAAAGTTGGAAACCTCACTGGGTTCTAGGTTTTTTATGCATGTGCCCTTGGAAGTGTCTGGACCAGCTGAGTTCAATGATTTGGAGGGAGATGCAATATGTTTGGCTTCATGGTACATTATTTAAAGTCCTGACATGCTGCAAGCAACACAGAAAGAAAGCTTGGAAGTGGAGTTGCCATTTATCATATAGTTTATCATTTATGGTGAAAAATTTCTTATGACAAGAATTCTGATTTATCGTTGTCTTGATAAATTTATGCTATTGATGGTATGTAAAAAAACAAAACCGACAGTATGTTTGGAAATGTTATTTTTACTAGTTTCCCTGCTGTTTGTTCCACAAGAACATCAATAACTATCAGTAAATTTGAAAATGTTATTAAATACAGCTGTGTGCAGTTCAGTGATAAAAACACACCTTTTTAAAGCAAACGGCAACCTGTTTCAAATAGAAATAATTTTCAAGAACATTTGTGTTTGTGGCTTTATGACTGCTGTGCCATTCAAATAAAATAAATAATGGTCATTTTAACATAATTGTATTGTTATCACAATAGTTCCAAAAGATATGGTGATGAAATTGGAAGTCTTAAAAGTTTTGATTTGAGTGCATACATATGAATGTCCAACGGTTGATGCAGGCAGGTGCAACCAGCTGTGTAGTCAAATGACGAGTTGCTACCAGCTGTTGAGCAGGACTGGCACAGGAACTCTTGAGTAGCTGCTTCAGTTTGTTGCCACGATGACGGACTCCCTCCAAAACCTTGCATCTCCATCATCTCCCCGTGGTCTACAAGGGGAGAAGACAGACAGACATCTCAGCGCTGGCTTGTGTATCCTGCATCCACTTCACTCTGGCTCTGGATTCATGCCTTCTATATTATGACCTAGGTCCCTCAGCTCAACCACAAATACATCAGTCAATGTATTTTGGATAATTATGACAGGAAGAGATGAGAAGATGGATTAAAATGGTGTAGAGAGGAAACCAAACGTGAAAAGGTGGGAAGCAGGAATGATGCTGTAGGAGAGACAGATGGGGGTGTGGATGCTTGGATTCCATGCAGCTCACTCAGAGAGGGGATGAGGGTGTTGGTGGTGGTGGGGTGGGAAACCGTAGAGCTCTAGAAGAGCAGGAGAGGGAGTGAGGGAGCAAACAGTGGGGACGAGTCTCACAGTTAGAACATGCAGGATGCACTAAGCCAGAGAAAGGACAAGACACACCAGAGGAAGTTTGCTCAGGAGCAAATGGCACTAACAGGCACACAAAGAGGAAGGCAAAACTGGAGAAAAAAAAAAATCAGGAAAACTTCAAACATCAATTTAATGCTCTTCACCTTAATTCTTCAAGTTGGAGCTGATGACCTGTCATAAATATGAAGATGTGCTTTGGTTGTTCAATAACTCCCTCCTCTCCGCCAAAAATAAACAAGTAAATAAAGAAAGAAAAGTAAACATAAAAAAAAAATATTGGAGAGAGACCAACATCTGGCCTCTCTCCTCTACTTTAGAGCTAGACGTGATCTACAACTGGCTTAGTACTGCAACCCCGCTCACACAACCACTCCACGTCTGTACTACTGCGGAACCCCACAGGACCGGACTAGAGGGGATGGAGGAGGTGGAGGCAGGGGCAAGAGGGAGGGGTGTCAGGGGGCAGAGAGATCAGTGAAGAATTACAGTGAACAGCATCGCAGCAGACAACAGCACAAACAAAGGAGAGACAAGCAAGGAGGTCAGCAGACTCCAGAGACAAATCAAAAACAGAAGAGGCGAGGGGAGGGGGGCACTTTCATCACAAGTCTACACAATACACACTCCCCTCTATGTCATCAAAGTAATTACTCCAATAAAACAATTAATAAAATTATTTGGGTGCACATTTCCCATGCAAGAAATACAAAGCACGTAGCTGCTGAGAAAAGAAACAATTTGAAGGAAGAGGAATTACTCAAAATAAATAAATAAATAAATAAATAAATAAATATCACGAGTTGGCAACATCTGTACAATCCCAACAGTGGTGAGTGGCAAGCCATGCACAAACAACTTTCTCATTATCCAAAAAAATTGTGAAAGGAGTATCTAGCAATAAGTAACTTGTCCAAAACACCTGGAACAGGAGAACTCAGCATGTCTGAACAGATGGAAGCATGGGGGAGACCCAATGTGTGGTGGTCTCTCTTCTAACAAAGCCTGTTTGAAGTGTTTCACAAATATACATAAGTCCAGTCTGCCATCTGGATGGCATTGTTTAAGGACAGTAATAAACAGAGAGAAAGTGCTGCTCTGAAGTCGTTATGCTTTTAACAGCTTACCTCAAAACAATTATAATAAAACAAAAAGAGGTCATCTGTTGTTGACTGAAGAGTATACCTGTTCTGTTGGAGTATCAGGGACAGTGGACCTCAGGTGTAAATGTTTTGGGCTCCTTTAACATGTGAAGTCTGAATCTCAATTATATTGATGCTCAATTCTCCCATTATCTAGGTTTCCATTAAAATAAAATTGCACAAATTGAGATTATGAAAATAAACACGGAAACGTGTCAATTTAAAAAAAAAAAAAACTCACGTTTTTTGATAAAAAGTTGTTGCAGTCTTTAAACCATATTGAAATAGATGTATTTCACAGAACCCCAATGCTAAAGAAAGCTGTGAAACGGACCAAATTACAGAGAACATGGAGTGAATCTCATCTTGGAAACAAACAGGAACAGAAGGTTTCCCTCAGCTGTTAGGAAAAGAAACATCTCATGATTCTCTAGCTTGCACAACCACAAACTTCAGCTGTCAAACAGATGTCTTCATGTTTCACATTAGAGGAGTAGACTGAGTTTAATCTGATGACAAGTTAATAAGGACCTGTTGCTGCAAAACAAGCCCAGGTCAACATCTGTCCATCACTGTGCTTAACACCTGAAAGGTCTTTGTGCTGATGAATTTGCAGACACCATGGTGTGAAAATAAACAGATGACATAAATGTTGTCTCGCTGCAAGACAGCTCTGAAGGTCAGAGTGTTTGGACATGGTGTCGCATGTTCTCCCTTTGCATGAGTCAATTCTTTGTAGGTACTCTGACTTCCTTCCACTGTCCATTGTCATGTTAACTGCTCCTAATTGCTCCCAGGTGTGTCTGTCCATGTGCATGTGTGTGTGTGTGTGTGTGTGTGTGTGTGTGTGTGTGTGTGTGTGTGTGTGCGCGTGCGCGCGCGTGTGCGTTTGTTTGTAATACCTTGTGGGGACGATTTTCCTGACATAAATTGTCAATATGTGGGGACCAATTGCTCCTTGTGGGGACCGGAGCCTGGTCCCCACGAGGGGAAACCCTGTTTTTGGGTCAGGGGTCAGAGTTAGGACTAAGGTATGAATTGAGTTTTGGTTACGGTTAGGGTTAGGTATGTGATGGGTAGGGTTAGGAAAAGGGTAAATGTAAGGTTTAGGCTGTAGAAATGAATGGAAGTCAATGGAAAGTCCCCACAAAGATAGCAACACAAACATGTGTGTGTGTGTGTGCATGTGTGTATGCATGAGTGTGGGTGTGGTGTATGTGTTTGTCTCGATGGTTGTTTCCAAAGTGATGAACTGGTTACCTGTTAAGGGTACAACCCCCCTCTCACCTATTAAGCACTCTATATAAGCACCAACCCCAGGATAGGTATTGGGTCTTATAGTGGTGTGAAAAGGTATGAAATTATTTATCATGGACTAATTTTTCTAAGTGACAAAAAATATTTTTTTTACATTTTATCAGAGGTGCTTATTGCATTACTATAGACCAGGGGTGGGCAACTCCAGGCCTCAAGGGCCAGTCTCCTGCAACTTTTAGATGCATCTCTACTTCAACACACCTGAGTCAAATAATGAGGTCGTTAGCAGGACACTTGAGAACTAGACTGCACTTAGGAGGTGATTCAGCTATTGGATTCAAGTGTGTTGGACCAGGGAGACATCTAAGAGTTGCAGGACACTGGCCCTCGAGGATCAGGATTGCCCACCCCTGCTATAGACCATGCTGATACTACAAGTGCATTAAATGAATATTAACAATTCACCTGATGTTCTGTACCTCTTATGCCCTTTTCGAGTGTTCAAGGCTCCCATAGCAGTCAATGGGTGAGAGACACGAATATAGCGCCACTATTTTTTAATCTGATTTCAGTGTTCACCACTCATACAACCTTTTAATGTTTGCACATCAATTGGCCATGGATCCTAATGTCTAACATCACTATGCATGACTGTGTTTATTCTGTTGCAATTAGGGCTGTGTAATAATATCGATTTTGCGATATATATTGATATTTTCTTTCCTAGAAAAAAATCGATATTCATCCACAAGTATCGTAACATCCAACTGTCACCTTGCTCACTCACTTAGGTCATCAGGCTTAGAGTGATTCCTTCAGATGTTAAGTGTCAAGGTTAAAAAGGTATCAAACTATTCAGAGCAGGTACTTGGTGCACTTTATTTACTTTACAAATGCATGTAAGCTACAGTTTGTACTGTTTCAATTAAAAGAAACATGTTTTCTCACCACTTCTTTGATTCATTTTGTCCAGCTGTCGACTTTAAGTCTGTGTCCTTGTCCAACCAGAGCCAGGTATTGTGTAGTTGGTGCTTTTAATCAGTTTTCAGTTAAATTAATTCAATCCAACTCTATAACAGTCACAAAATGTCACCAAAATTACTCTGTCCCTCTAAAATATTTCAGAAAATCGTAAAAGTGTATTGAATTTTATCGTTTGCTGAATATCGCAATATATATCATATCGTGAGCAGAATATTGTGTATCGCATCGTGAGATTATTGTATCACTATAGCCCTAGTTGCAATATGACCAAATTTCCAGTTAATCAACATAGACTTCCTAGATTTGTTGGAGAAGAGCAAAGCCTTTCTGAAACTTTGAATAGCTGTTTGATATTTTAAAACATGTCACTTCTGATAATCTGATTACCTCTTTTGATACAGTCTCAATCCCTTATAAAATGGAGCTAAGCACATCCTCATCTGACCAAACCCTAACAACCAGTGTGTAAGTTCCAACACATTCAGTGAAGAAATCTGACATTCAGGCTCAACTCTACAATAGGTTTCAGTTCATTTAGTTGCTGTTGGAGTTTTTTAGGCTTGAGCCTCACACAGGACAAATTCAAATAAAATGTCTTCAGCAATAACCATGCATTTCATTTATTTTGGAAGTTGCCCACAACTTTGTTTTTGTTGTATTTACAAGTGAGAAAACGCAGTGGGATCTGCCAGTGGTGCATAGCTACCATTAGCAACACCGGCTAAAAACAATCTACATTCAGAACATTTAAACGCTGCACAATTCTGTGTGCATGCCTGGATTAATAAGATACAACCCATTCAAATGAATGAGTCATTACTGTGGGAAAGTTAAACTTTTATATCAGCAGCAGACAAAGTTAGTGGTAAATGTCTCACGTTCTAAATTGAAAATCAAATTTCAAGCGAACCTTTATGTTTTTATTAAATGCATGCATTACTTGCATCTAAATACATCAACAAAGATTACTTAACTTCAGATCAAGGTTAGAGACATATTCGACACATAAAATAAGTATTGAACACATCAACATTGCTCCTAAGTTAAGTAAGCATTTCTAATGGGGCTGCTGACACAGCATTTAAGCAAGATGTCAGCACCAAGTAAATGACACATACAATAAATCATAACAAATTAGTCCCTAAATTAAAAACCCTGCAAAGACCAGGTCATCAAGTGCTCCAAGCAGGAACAAACCATTTAACTCAGATAGGGGGGTGTTCAGGGCAAATATGGATGTGTATTTTTTTATCTTATGTATATATATATATATATATATAGATATATATATATACATATATATATATATATAATTTTTTTGGGGTAAATGTATTGTGTTTGAGGAAGTAATTTGATTTATTTACTTGTTTTAATCATCTTCTCCTCTCTTTGAGGTCACCTGGTCATGTGCTGCCATGGAAGCGCGCCAGATAGTTTTTGTTTCTAGCTTTGTTTGAGTTAATTGTAATTGTGTAGACATTTTTTTTATAGGAATAATTTAGTACAAATGTTCTTTATTTCTGAAAATGTGAATGTCTCCACCCCTCTGAATTAGTCCTGGTGGAAGCCAATTCCTTAAAAGCCAGGTGGTTCAGATGAGAGGGAGATTCTCCCTCCTCTTGTTTGATTGACATGATATACTTAAACCGAACTGAAGTGTGTGAAGCTGAAGATAAAAGAAAAAATATTGAGAGCTCTAAAACTGCTGGTTCCAGTCTGGTTTCTTTTGGATCGCAAACTAA